TGAGGTAAGTGTGGCTGACTTGAAACACAGGTTAATTTCCTCAACACTGTTCATGTTTTAAGATTAAGAGAGAAAATTTCCAAGAGAGACATATTTGGAGTTTCATTGAATCCAAATTCTGCAATAATTTGAAACATTTTCAAAAAGTTTTCTACAGCCCAATCATTACAATCTATTGATTTATTTTATTTTTTTATTCACTTGTGTTTTGAGACAAGGTTTTGTAGTCCAGACTGGCCTCAAACTCACTTTGTTGTTGAGGATGACCTTGAACTCTGATCCTCCAGCCCCCACTTCCTAAGTGCTAGGATTAAGAGCATGTGTCACCATGCTGAGCTAAAGATTAATTTAGGGAATAGTACTATGCCAGATGTGGCAGATTGTGAACAGGTTCATGTATCACTGAGCTCCATGATAATCAAAATTAAATGCATGAATATTATGCATTAGAATACTTAATGTTTGTTACATTTATTACTGATACATATTGTCAATTTGTATCTAATGCAGGCTTTTATGATTTTAGTTAAGTGTATAGCAAGCAAATATGAAATATTTTTCAAATTAATAAAACAAAAGTTTCTTTTTTAACTGCTAAGACGATTACTTAGTATCTCCAGACTGCATTTGCCTTACTGATCTAGTGCTGGAAGCATCAGTGTGTAGCAGTTTTTTGTAACTGTACAAGACAAGTTTTGGCCCTGGCTGCAAAGAGCTAAAATCCCTCCCTACTCTCATTTGCCTCCCCTGGTCTTTTCTACTCACCCATTATGCCTCATCCCTTCTCTTATTTTCTTTTCCCTTTTTCTCATAGTACCTGAAGCTACCTGTTCCAGAGCTTGCCACCATGCCAGGATTAGAGGACTTGTCTCTTATGATTTCACAAATGATTGATGGCAGAAGCACATCTTCTCAGTCTAGCATTCATTCAGCAAATGTTTATTGAACTTCCCCTGTGTATCAGACATTTTGAACCCAGAGATGACTAGGTGAGTCAGCTTACAAGTTCCACACCTTTGCAAATGACTTACACTCCGGACTCAGCCTTCTTCTACCCAGCATCCTCCTCTCTCCTTGTCCCGCCTACACTATCCTTCCTGCCTGGCTACTGGCCAATCAGTGTTTTATTTATCAATCAATCATAGCAACATATATTCACAGCATACAGTACATCCCAGAGCAAAGGAGTCAAAGAATAGATGACTATATTTTGTGTTAAGTTTGACAACAGGCTATTGGGGACACATCAGAGGGACGCTTAACGATTCCTAGGGAAGGCATCAGAAAGTTTTGAAATATTAGTTGTCACCTCAGTGAGTCTAAGAGTGTGGGCGGGGAAATTGAAAGATGTCATTAACTCTGGGCTATAGGACCAGTAAACGTGATGACATATCATATTTGAGTGCTCCACAAAGGATCATAATAGGTCTTGGACGTGAAAAACTTTGGCCTTTATTCTAAAATGATAAAGAGTTTTTGAAACATTTTAGTTAGAGGGATCATTATATTTGTGATTGAGAGAGCTCACATTGTCCATAGTATAGAAAATTTAGGCAATTGCTACAACATGGGCAAGAAATCACAGATGCAGAAGCAATTCAGAGGTGGAGATGGTGGTAAAAGTCACAGAATGAATTATGAAGGAGGGAAAGGCCTGAGTTTAATTGATCCCAGTTTTCTAAGCAGTTGTATTATGAAACAGCAGTCCTATTCCCCAAGATCATATGATGGGTGGTTGAGTGTGTGGTGCTTAGCTTGAACATGCCAATTTTGAGAACTTTTCATAGCCCAGTGACCACTCCAGATGGAGTCTGCCAAGGAGACTGATAGACAAAAAAATAAGTTATCAGTGAGGTACAGAAAACCCCATGGAGCTGGTCAGTATCATTACAGCTTCTTAGGTTTATATGAATCTCATAGACCCCAAGGGCAAGGAGCAGAATTTGGTATCCCCTAACTGGAAGGTTTGTACTGGAAGATTGCAGGTACTTTCCATCTCTCACCTAGGCTTTTCACCTCGGCACTGTTCTCGATGCTTCCTGCATTCTTCTCTTGGCACTGTGGTGGGACACAACTCCCAGTGACTCTGGAATTCCTTGCTTCTATCTATCTCCAAGTCTCTTCTGAGTTCTAAGGAGAAAGGTTTCATGTTGGTCAGGTGATGCACTGTGGACAGAAAATGGGCTGACATGGGTTTTAGGGCTGTCCCTCTTAGACTGTAGAGTGGCAGGTTCTCTACAAAAGGAATATGAGCAGGCTCAAGGTTGGCTGCAAAAACAGCCAACACCAGGAGTGTGAAGAGATAGCAAGAGTAATGGTGTGTGACTCGGGACAGAGAAAGTAGCTATGGGAAGGGGTTAAAACTCAGGTGGTGGGGAGATTTTAGAGACAGAATCTAGATTCTGAAAGCATCAAACCCTTGGGGAGCAGAATTGAAGAGATGACAAGAGGAAGATAAATAACAAAGTGATCGAGAAGAGATGGAAAGAGACAAAGTGTCAAAAATCTAGAAGGAAAGAGGTGCCAGTCAATAGTGTCAGTTCTACAGAGATCTGGGGGGGTTGAGAGCTGAAGTACGACTAGCAAAGTAGTCTGGAGGAAATGTTCCATGAAGGGGTGGGGACAGAATCCGGACACAGTGGGATGACTGATTTGTGGCAATGAAGACAGAAATAATTACAGTATATCCCTACCCATTTCACAGTCTTTCTTACAGATTGCTTACATGCCTGTGGAGTGCATATGTGTGTGTGTGTGTGTGTGTGTGTGTGTGTGTGTGTGTGTGTGTGTGTGTGTGTGTGTATACTTAAAGTCTACTTACTGGAAATCACAGGATAGACATTAATATATACACAGGTCCCATTAATATATACTCAGCCATTCTGTGTATATGGAGTAACTCTGAGGTTTGCCCAGAAGGACTCTCTAACCTAGCCTAACTATGTAACACATACAATGTGATTTTGGAGGACTGTTTGCTAGATTCTTTCTTGGCTACAACACATGCTGATGGCTTAGCCTGACAGTGCAAAGCATTCTTGCTGGCATAATATGCCCAGAGGGACAAGCATATTAAAATCACAAATTCATTACTTTCTTGAGAGTAGGACACATAACATTCTAACAATCTTATAAACTGCCTCCAGAAATTATAAGGCAAAATTAATTCTGTCTCAAAAATTGCTTCCATGTTTATGAATGCCATTTCTCTCTCCCAATTATTCCCATCTCCACTGCCATGATTAAAAAGCTAACACAGGCGTTTTCTACCTGGCTCCTAAGCTTCTCTATAGAAATATTTAAAACAAAAGCCTTAAAAGTGTAATTTTTGTTTCGTGGTCCAACTTTTAGATTCCAGTCAGTATCTTAGAGATGCCATCTAGTCTCTGATTATTTGTACATTCAGTTTATATGGAAATAACCACCTCTTCCATGGTTAGCGTCATGGGTTTACATTACACAAGTACTTTCAGACACTGAAGGTTACAAGAGTGTCTGTGAACCTATGTGGTCCTCATCTTCGTGTGAAAACATTTCTTATGCCAAGTGGGACCAGGTATAGACTCTGCCACGTGCTCATTTTCCTATCAATTATGGATTTTGAGATCTCTGGATTATTTACTTTTTTCTTTCTCTTGCTTCATTTAAAACAAATGGAAACAACAACAAACCTCCCTCCCCCAAACTTCTCTGACTTTAAATTTTAACAGAATGTTGCCATCTGGTTTTAGTCTGACTCCTTGGTTTCCATGACAGTCTTCTTCCATGATTCAAGCCAGGTATCATCTAGAGGGAACAAAAAGGAACAATTTCAAAACAGAATAAAGTAGTCTCCTTTTGACAAGTAAAACCTCTAACTTGTCAACTTAAAGGGGAGAAAGGCACAAGACTGGTAGAACTAAGCCCAGAAAATGAGAAGATGTTCTAATGGCCCTAAGTCACCGAAGGTGTGAAGCATCATTTATATACTAACCTTTCAATGTTGAGGCACCCCAAAAATGTGGATTATCTTAGTTCAGAGTCTACCTACAATCACTTGGAAAAAACTTGAAAAATTTTGTTCCATATAATTAAAAAAATGATGGCTCATGGAGTTGGCAATTAGAATTGTACAGAAGGCTTAAAACAAAGTTATTTACTATAGAAAATGGAAGCTTAGAAGTAGATATGTTCTTTTCTTTTTTACAGCTAATCACCACACCTATAAGGCTGTTTAAATCTCCACTTGTTTTTGCCCATTTTAGATAAAGTAAAATTCCAGATGGAAACTAGAAAGTGCCTGTTTTGATGATGTCGCCTTTGCTGACATTCCAAAAGCACAAACACATGGGAGGAGCTGCTGTTAGAGAAAGAATGAAGATCAACATTGCTGGGCACAAAATGATTGCAATGGTTAGGTGCTTGCTGGATGTTAGACTCTGCAGTAATCTAAAAAACAAAACAATCCTGGAGATACAGAGATACTGCATAGTAAAAATAAAATGTCCTGAACATCTCACTGTTCTAGATATAAATAATTACTCTCACACTCTACAAACTTTGGAATATCTGACTATCTATAATTCATCTGATAAAAATAGATGGATTATACTACACACTGACCATAATACCCCCACAGTGTTTTGAACAGGGCAGTACATAGATGAATGCACTCACTTTTTTTTAAGTGAAGTAATGTCATGATTTACTCTATGACTGGAATAAGGTATAAAGGCTCAGCATTATTATTTAGTTTTCTTTTTTGACACTTTATTGGGATTCTAGAACTGTAAGATGGGCAATAGAATGACATCTAGGGAATGTTAGAAGAGGGAGGACAAGTGAAAAATAATCCAAAGGCAGCTAATGTCTTGGCACAGTTGACAAGAGCTTAGCTTTTGATGTTTCTTCTTTTGCAAAAACAAAATAAAGGAATAAAAGGAGGGAAAGAGGGAAGGAGGGGGAAGGGAGAAAGAGAGAGAGGAGATGTGTGAAGAAATGAAACAAATAGTCATTTGGAATTATTACTGCAATAGGACATTTCCAGGTATTTTATTGGATTCTGTTTTTAACATTTGCAATAAACACTTCAAGTGCAATGACAAATTAAAAAACAGTCATCACAGGAAAATATCACACAATCAAAACTCATAGGTAGTTACTTAACAAAAGGACCCAAATTAAGCAGAGAACATGGTGTATGAATTTACCTTTACATTACTACATGGTAAATTGACCTAACTCAATGTCAAAAGAAAATGAATATAAAAATATAAAATGCATGTTTGACATTGTAGTTAGAATACCATTGTTATTATGAATAACTATTACTTCATTTCATACAAAATAATACTTGATTGACTTATCTATTAAATGGGGAAAACTGAAGTCAATGGTAGGAAATATTAAATGCCAGTATAATAAACACCTTTCATTTAAATATTCACAGTTAACACTGCATTGCACAGAGAAGTACAGAACATATCACAGACTATTGATTTACAAGAGAAAGCAGTACTAGTGATATTTGAGAAAAAAATGTAGTATCTGTCATGGATGAAAACATGACTGTTCTTTGTATTCAAACTGAGAAGTCATTGGGTTGTAATGTAACTTGGGAAAATCCTCAAGTACATCAATAAATGAGTGAAAAGCTTACCAGTATTTAGACTATGGCTAATGTTAACAAACTGCTACCTATGATTTAATAATCCAGTATTTCCATATAGTTACTGGAAATGGTAGCGTTTCTTTAAAATATACACTCCCTCCCCAAATCCTTTCTCTGTCTTCTCCACTCATACAAAAACAAAAGACTAAAAAAATGATTGCTATGGGAGCCAAGTTTTTTCCCCCTTTGAATCATAATTGCTGCAATTTCTCTAGTTGCTTTAAAAATACTGTTCAGGAATTAGTTGTCACGATGGACTTTTTTTTTTGGTTTTTCAAGATATGGTTTCTCTGTGTAGTTTTGGTGCCTGTCCTGGATCTTGCTCTGTAGACCAAGGTGGCTTCAAACTCACAGAGAACCACCTGGCTCTGCCTCCTGAATGCTGGGATTAAAGGCATGCGCCACCACCGCCCGGCCGCTATGATGGACTTTTTAAAAAGCAAGTGAAAAAGATAGATGAAGGACATTGTTTAGTTTTGCGTGATGACATTAAACATGTATGAGGATGTATGCTTTGGGTGTGGGGACTTAACATTGTCTTAGTGGGGAAATCTTTGGGTATTTCATGTAGGTAGATACAGTTTGGAAGTTATCTAAGAAGGTCTAACACAATCCCAATGACTCCTTTTCACTAAAACCTTAAAATCTCAACATATTTTGAAGTTTCATTTTGAAATATAATGGCAGTGATAAAGAACACACAACATGCCAGGGTGAAAAGTGTAAAGAGAATGACATTTAGAGCCACTTATGGGCACATGATCTGTGATAAGTCACTTGACTCTTTAAAACCTTGGCTGTGCTGTCTCTAAACTTCAGATGCTATTAGTAGTCCGTGTGGATAGTGTTTTAGAAATTAAATAGAACATGTTGATGGTCTTTGCAATGCATACGTATTCTATGAAAATAAACACATGTAGACTCCAAGAAACACTACATACACTGTTTGCTTTCCTTTGTGTGTGGTATATATTGTATGATACATATATAATATATAAGCTTTTTAAAAACACATGACAGCATTTATGGGGTAGTCCCCAAAGTAGTCTATACAGTTCTATCACAGTTGAAAAAGAGGATATTCCTATTTGGTTTATTGTCACACAATTTTATGGCATTTAAGAAAAACACTTATACATTTTAAGTAAACTAAATACTTAAATTCCCCCACCCCCAACCCCAGCATGAAACAATCACACCATAGAAACAATTTACCAGAAAAAAAACACTATGGTTTGTTTAGCGTGGCCAGTTCACAAATGGTTGTAGGGTACAGTATTAACATAGTATGCTGGAATCACCACTTAGCACATTTTATCAACTTCAAAGAAAAACGAAACTGATGAAGTCATTCCTCACAATCACGGACACAATCACATGTGCAAGAGACTAAGTTATACCTACGATGAAAATTCAGATTCACAAAACTAAAATGACCAGATTAAATGCTTTAGCTAATTGCTTCACTGGTCAAAATATACATTTCCTATTACAACAGAGGCTTTTGAAAGCTGCCCCCTTTTCTGAATGGAAGGGATATAAGACTAACTTTATGGACAAATAATCTCAGTATGACAAAATATTTCTGTTATTCAATGGACCCCTACCACTTTAAATAACTTTCTAGTGTCTGGATTCTGGCATTCTTTTAACATATCTCTTCCTATACTAAAGCCAGCCACCAGAAAATACTCCCATTTTTAACGGGTATCGTCACTTGTTATCTCTGTTGTGCAAAAGATATAACCCTTCTTTCCCCAGATGTCCACTAATGCCAAACAGAAGTGTTTGGGTTATCCCTGAATGTTTTTCTCACTCCTGAGCAAAACTAATTACAGTATGGCTCCATCGGGCCTCCTTTGTATTAAAAAATTCACAACATTTTATGAATATTCTTTTATATTATAGTTATAGCTTCTGGGACCAAAAGGTCATTAACTTTTAAATGTGACAAAATTGTATCTTACAGTCAGCTATAGTTCATTGGTATGCCAATATATCTGATTACTAAATTACAACAAGTTATGGAGAGTAGCTTGAGAAGACATTTGTTTAGGTAATGAACTCAACATTAAAAGATGAAATGACAAATTTTAATAATTAAGCCATATATGAAGGAGAATGAGGTCTAAGTTTTTTAAGTCTTGTCAAGGTCAAGTAGTAATATTAGGAATATAAATGTTTGAGTTCATAATCTATTCAGTTACTTGAGAACTATGTGGCATCGTAGTGACTGATGGAGGATCAATGCATATATGTTAAGAATCTAAAATGCTACACAATGTTAAAAGATGAAAAGAAATATGCAGATTACTAAATTCAAATTTAAACTCTTCACTTTACAGATTAAGACATTGGAGTATTGAGAAGTTAAAGGGACTTTCCTGGGGCAAATGGGTGATTGGCAGATCCAAGCATTGCAATGCAGATCCCCATGTGTAAAAAGATTAAAGAGATAATAAGGCAAACACTTCTGTTCTCCAGTCTTTTCCCACCCCTTTTCCTACCTTTAGTCTCATAATGTGCAATAGAGTTCCTGGGACCATTTCAGCATTTCATGCACACTTTGCAAATCACCTTAACATCCAATTAATGTTACCAATACCTGCCCCATCTTGTTAGCTATTTCATTAATCTGCTTCCCTTTGGGATGCCCCCCACCCCATTTTTCATGATCCTATTATAGATGAGTGAAAGATCTTAAAGAAGAAGGAATCCTATTTCCTCTTCTCACAATTTAAAGAAGGAGATATATTCATGGCACTTTCAAGGCTTAAATCTCATTTCAATTTATTCTTTAGAAATGCATAAAAATCTTAGTGTGTAAGTATTCTTCAAAGCATTTTTAAAGAAATGTGTATAACAGGATTTGGTAGCTGGAAAGGGCTTTTGAGTTTGCTGAACCTGGCATGCCCACTCTGCAATTCAAGAAACCAAAGCCTAGCAAAGGTAATGACTTCCTGGGGTCCCAGAGGTAGGTAGTGGGTAAGAATGCCAGTATCCTGTTATCTAAGCTCATGCTATTTTTTATCACTCATCATATGAATGTTTTGGTATGTTATATATCTGATACTGTTCTGTGCTTTTCTTTGGTGTGTGTGTGTGTGGGGGGGTAAAAGTCCAGGTTTTGTCTTTATTTGAACTGTAGCCTATAATCATGAAACAGATATACTATTATATATATTACATTGCTTAAAGTTGGGTCATTGTATGAAAGTAGTTCTTGCATAAAGTAGTTTTGCATCACCTACTGATCCTTATAAAAGCATCTGAACGTTTAAGAACCCCTGTTTTGATTCCATCCACAAGCATTGCTTTGCTGCTAATGGGGCTGTGACCCTCAGTTATGAGGAGTCAGATAATTGCAAAGGGCTAACTAGTCCCTGTGCCAGTATCTCTACCACATGAGTGAACACTAACAAAAACAAGGTGGCGGCGGCTATATTTTCACTTTAGTCATAACTATCTCTATTGGAGACTCACATCACTCAAATCAAAGATAGTTGTCATCCCTTTATCATCACTAAAATGACATTGGTATGGTCTCCATGTTCTGACCATGAAGAAATAGCCAGGAGATTATTAAAAATTCATTTTAGACGTTGCCTCAAAGAAAGTTACCTGGATTGTATTTCTACCTATTTGGAGGCTACTAGGTAAATGGCTGCTTAGTTAAGATTCTTATAGATGAATGAAATTCATCACTTGAATTTTTTAGGTCATCATAAAATTTATATTCCTGGCTTTGAAATTGATATATTTTCCATAGTAATTAAACTTCTAAAAGTACTCATTATTTTCATCCACTTGTTCAGGAGTATCTTGACAGTAAACTATGGAAATGAATAAAGTAGTGTACATACTAAATGTTCACAGTTTGACTTTCCATAAGGCTTATGAAATAATATACAAATAGCTACCATTCTGCTGAGATGTCACAGTAAATACAATAATGGCACAGAAGTTAAATGTTCCCAAATGGGACGCCATCTTTAGGACCTCCCAAGTCTCTTTTCCAACTAAAAATTTGCCCTTTCTTAATTGAAAAAGAGTTCCATTTCTAAAAGAATATAAAAATAGAAAATGAGGCAAAGAATATTTTACACATATAATTTTGAAGGAAAAGTAATAAACATCAGATGAGATATTACATATATCTCTAAGAATGTACTTTGTCTTACTGTACCAAACATCCCATGAAAATAAAATAGAACTTGATATATATGAATTGCCTAAGTATAACTAAATATTGTAATTTTAGTCAACACAGACAAATTAAACATAGAGTAAGTACTAATACATTTTTGTAAAATTAAGGTCAACTAAAACCTACCTAAAATCTAATTTGTTAATCTATCATTTTGAATTAAAAAATAAAAGACTGTTTAATCAAGCAAGGCACATTTCTTTTAGGCAAGTCTGTCTTTAATACCATTCATCTGGGCACAGTGTTACTTTCACTTATTTGTGTGAATGGGCTAGTCTACCAATGGAAGCCTTTGGTATAATCACACACTCACAGATAAAGTTAAACCTAACCCAGAACATAGACTATAGGAACATGTTCACAATTAAATACAGTCCAATACTTAAATGAAAAAAAAAACAAACAAACAACCAACAACAATAGTTGGCTTGTTAGAAACACATACAAGGTTATCTTTATCTGTGACACTGATTGTAGTTTTTGGATGATTTGACTCCACCAGAATGTCAACAGTTTGAAATGATACCTTAACATTTTATTTCTTTAATTTAAATTTTTTTAATGTCCTCTTTCTCTCCTGCTCGATATCATTCGTACCATTCATAATATGAAGAGTACCCCCCAGCTTTGAGTTCTTTCTTCACATGGAGCATTTGTTAGAGATGTATCTGAATACTAACTGAAATGAAAATATGTAACTGTCACTGCACTCTCATCCAAGCAGTTTAAAGCTGAGCATCCTTTTGGTCAGGGTCACTCTGCAGTTCCTTATGTGGGGCTCTTGAGGGACCTGTTGGATAGAGAAGACTCAATAATTTACAGTGTATTTAGCATTTGAAATTATAGAATTCATGCTAATAGAAACGTCCCATTCACTAATTTTTTACTTTTAGGTTTTCTTACTGTTACCTGTAAAGTTCAAAAAATTTCATTTTTTTTGAAATGTTGTAGACCATATTTTGAATGACATCAACTTGCAAATTAGGAAGTTTAAGATTACGTTGGTTATAATTTTTCAACTAATACTGTGCCATTAGTCCAAACCAGTAGGCTAGTATGCTTTTGGAAAAGAGAATTTATCCTTATCCTCAAGGCCATATGACAGGTTTACAGTGATTTTTATAAAGGTGTATTATTTTCTCAATGATTTCCAAAGATTTCTGGTTCTATCTCCTCTTGTGGTAAGCTAAAAATGAGAACTCTCTGAAGTGAACAAGCTTTCTGTCCCTAGAGAGGTGCTACATGGAGAGGAGTGGGGGTGAGGATCTGGGGGAGGGAGAAGAAGAAACAGAGAAAGGAAGGGGAGTGGGGAGAAAGTTGTGTGAGAGCTAGGGCCTAGCCCCTTTTCATTACAAACCTAATAATCCTTAAAATATGACTATGTGCAGTTATCTATCACTTTAAAGAATTAAGACAACAGAACCTTCTCTATCAGGGGTTGTGGAGAACCAAGAAATAAAGGCTACATGTTTAGTGACCTCCCTTTCCTCCTACTAGAAAAACTCTTAGAAATACACAGTAATTTGTAAAACTATAAAAGGATAATGACAGTATGTTTTTCAGTTTTACCCAGAATCTAGATGGACTGTGGTACACAGCAGACAGTTCACATCTTACAAAGGTAAGTCCATACTGCCTTGAACAGTGTCTGACACACTGTGGGTCCTCATTACAGCTATGTTGAGTGAATACAAAGAGGATACTTGAAAATCAGCGTTAGGTAGTCAAAACATTTGCTTAGTCTGTAATACAAAGGACACAGAGACTGCTAAATCTAGGTTGAATGTGGCAACATTATCTATCAGACTCATGGAGAAGATGGCTCCTCACACACACTCCTGGCTTTAGCAGATGTCCCTGACCTTGGGTAAAATACCCAAAGATGAGGATCTGGAATTTCACTGTGCTTTTGATGGGAGAATTGTTCACTCATCAAGCTACATACCATAGGCCTACTGTGAGCTGGGCAATCACCTGCAGAAACACTTTTCTTGGTGGTATTGATTACACTTGGTCATATGGTTAATTCTTTATACTATTTTTCTTGAGTAGAAATATTAAGAGTATATTAAAAATATACTTAATTTTATTATGAAAATATGAAAACTCCAGTGGTTTAATTATTAATTGCCACTAATAACATAAATGATCTGGTCTCCATTTTAGAACCTAAGCCCTCATTCTTTGCTCGTTGAGCCTACAGCCTATTTGTCTTGAAATGGTTCTGCCAGGTTTCACTTGTTTTGCTACTGTTACAACTCAGTAAAAGTAACTGGGCTTCCTGTTTTAAATCTCATTCGTGTCCATTACTTCCTGTGAAGGCCTTTGAAATTACTGATAATAATAATAATAATGTAGTACTGGGGCTGGGGGATGGCTCAGTTGGTAAAGAACTCGCTGCACAAGCACAGGGATCCGAGTTTGATCACCAGAACCCACGTGAAAAGGCAGGGCACAGTGGTATGTGCTTGTAAACCCATCCTGGGGGAGGTGGAGACAGGTGGAGACCCTGGGGCTGACTGGCCAGCCAGTCTAGCCTGCTTGGTAAGCCCCAGGCAAATGAGAGATCCTATCTAAAATACCAGGAGGATAGCTCCTGAGGAATGACACCCAAGGTCGGCCTCTGCTCTCTGTATACATGTGCACATACACCTGCATACATACACATGCAACCACACAAACACATATCCAGCAACATGCATGCGTACATGTGCGCACACACACACACACACACACACACGTATCATACAGCATCTTAAGAGGCTATAAATGTGCATAAAGTTGTAATTCTATAGGAACAAAAAATAAAGGTGATATCTGGATTGTAATAAGGATGCTTGTGTTTAGTGGATAAGAAGTGGGTTGAAGAGAAATGAATAGACATTACGTATCAAAACCAATTCTATAAAAGAGACAGGAGGTACTGTGGAAAATGATGACCTATAATTAAAGACACCTGCTCAACAGGGGGACAAGAGTGGTCAAAGTTTAATAATTATTCATTTGCAAAGAAGCAACTCATAATTCTATCAAGTCCAAAATGAAAGAAATATAGACTCAGTCCACTGAACAACATGCATTTGATGAAAGGCCTGAAGTCATTCTAAAAAATGTAGATTTATGGGAACTTTGTTCTTATGATGTATCTATATTTTTGACATCTATTAAAAGTCTTAAAATTGGCCACATTACCAGTAAGTTCTACAGTTCTAGCAGCTAAATGGTAATAAATGTTCCCAAAGACTAGAAAAATTTCTTCTCTATTATGTACAGTTTTCTGATTGAAGTCTTGGAAGTTATGAACTCCTGGCAAGCAACAAAAGGTTTAAACACAACAGTACATAAAGTTAGTAACATGAAAGATATGAGCATTGCCACAAAACAGGAAATTCATTGGAAAATGAGCTTGTGAAACTTAATCAATACTACTTTTAGTAACACGAAGAGTATTTAAGTCTACTATTAATAAATATCTAAAATTCACAGATCTTAGTATGTAAGTAAAATATCCAAATTTGACACAGCATAATAAACTGCTCTTCTTAAATCAGTAAAAACTCTTGCAGCTAAAATGCCTATAAACTCTAGAAATAAAGCAATTAAACTGCAGTTTTTATTTGGAGAAAATATGTGTCTTTAGTTTACTGGGTAGAAGGACCCTGCAAATGTGGCCATTTAGAAATCTGACATATGGGTACTAGCAAGAAGGCTCAGTGGGTAAAGGCACTTGCCACCAAGCCTGATGACCTGAGTTTGATTCTTGCAACCCACATTGTGGAAAGAGAGAACTAACTCCTGAAAGTTAGCTGTTTTCTCACCTCCACACTTATATTGTGGGGCTGTGGGGCATACACACCCACCCACCCACAAAATACAAACACAATTGAAAAAATTAAAAGCATAAAAAAATAAGAAATTAAAATACTCATTTCTACTTTTTGTTCTATGTCATTTCTTTAAGAAGACCTAACAATATATTTACAGACAGAGTGTTGGGTCCTGTACAGACAGGCCTATTAGATAAGCTGTAGAAAGGAGTTTCTAACTTCTGTTGGTTTACATATGTAAACTCAAACATATATGTTGATTTTAATTTGTTGACACATTTAGTAAGAAAAATATGCCACCTGGATGTGCAGAAGAAATAACCAGTTCATCCACCTGTCTGATTTGCCTGGGGATGGAGATAATTCAAAAAGGAAGATACAGAAATATTTCTTGGGCTGGAGAGAGGGCTCAGTGGTTAAGAGCACTGGCTGTTCTTTCAATGGTCCTGAGTTCAATTCCCAGCAACCACATGGTAGCTCACAACCATCTATAATGGGATCTGAGCTCTCTCTGGCATGCATGCAGACAGAGTACTCATACCTAAAAAAATACATAAACAAATAAAAATTTAAAAAAATGAGTGGGAGAAATATTTCTATTCAAATCAGCAGAATCATACTTCCTGCAAAGGAGAATACATCTGTTACAACATTATCTAAAATCATGGCAGTATCTTTGTTTAACAGAAAGGTAAAGTCCCCTGGGGAATCATTTACTTGTTGGGATTTTCTGTACCACTTGGGCCAATAAGTCTATGCACACAGGTATGAAGAGGAGTACTATTTATAAGAAGTACTCTACTAGCTACTATGTAAGATCCATGGTCTCTGGGAAACATCCTAAGTTCTAAGCACCCTTGATGATACCCATAGTTAAGTTATTTATATTAAGGGATTCAATTACAAATGGGGAGAGTTTCTGGTATGAATCTGAAGAATGTTACATTAAGTGGAAGCCTTTCCAGTGGGTAGAACTGTAGGAATTTTATTCATAAGAGCATAGTGGGGAGTCTGAGCTCCATAGCAAAGAAAATGATGCAAGAAAACCCATACTGCCCTCCAATGAATAAATACTGAACACAAATGTATTTCAGGAACTATTCCAGGTCATGGCCTCAAGGAAGGAAAGAGAAAATAATTAATAAATCTAATAGACAGAATATATACTATGTTAGAAGGTAGATTAAATAGAGAAGGAACAATGGGCTGCAATGGTAAGCAGACTGGCTAGGGAAGGTTGTGATGAGAAGGTAACACACCCAGGAGGCAATGGACTGAGTCATATGGATGGTGCTTCAGTGCTTGCACATACGATGCAGAAGGAGCAGCCAGCACAAACCCTGCAAGGTGGAGATGACTTCTACATTTTAAAAAGAGCAAGAGGAGCACCGTGGACCAAGTGTCAGGAAGGCAAATCAAGCCAGAAGAGTTAGGGAATTACGTAGGGCCATGCAGGTCACTGTAAGGTCTGTATGGGAAGACTACTATGAGTTCAAGGTACACCTGGTCCACAGAGTGAATTCCAGGCTAATCATGTCCCAGACCAACCAACCATCCAACCAGCCAACCAACCAAAAAAAAAAAAAAAACCAAAATACAACAAACAAAAAGCCCCCAAAACCCCAACCAACCAGCCAACCAAAAGGAGAAAAAGATGGGTTTGATGATAACTTTCTTAGTTAAAAAAAAAAAAGCTGGTGGGGATCTCATCAGGAATTCCCCAGAGACTATGTACTGTGACAGTTCTAGTTACAAGCTCACAGGAAGAGAAAATGCTTCCCCTATTTCCATGCTTCCTTCCACAAATGAAGGTGGGACCTCACTGTCTGTAATGCCCAAACCCTGAATAAACAATTATTCATAACATTCTTCAGGTATGATGAAACACCATTCGGGGCTTATTCAACTACTAATGCCCAGAGCCCTACCTGTTTTCCAGGGCATTGTTCCTATTCTTCACATAGGTTATGATAACAATACGGCACTCGAGAAAACAACGAAGCCTCTTTTCTAGGTCTCCCTTTTAAAGCATGTGATAGTGATGGTGCAAATTCTGAAGTGCAAGGAAAATGCACCTGATGGAGAGGTAAAGGGAGGAAGGAAGGAAGAAAAGGGAGGGAGAACATGAAAATACTCTTTTGTAAATATATTTTCTTTGCAATTTGGAAGAGAAAATTAGACCACAGCACGACTAAAACCCAAACTAAACCGCTGTAAACATTCTAACAAGCTGGAATCATTAGGCTGTATTTGCAAGCTGAGAATGAGTATATGATGAATACTATTACCAAATGCTACACAACACTGACCATTTTCTGGCAGGAAGTTAAAATTTGTAACTAAGGTTTGAACTTTTATAGCTTTCCATTCTTTTTTTTTTT